TGCTTCAGCAACATCCATAGAGAAAGTAGCATTTCTAGGGCCATGCTGTTGCTTGGGAGTTTTTCTAATTTATAGTGAACTTATCAAACCATAGATAACATGAAATAACACATCATGTCAAGCTACTTCCTCTACTACTGTGGAGTTAAAGGATAAGGCCGACATCAACAATGCATTTGTATATCTGTCAATACTTTCTTCAACTGACTTCTTTTCCATTTCTGTGGCACTCAGCTCTAAGCCCACTGGTTCCTTCTGGAGATTTATTGGTTTAAAAACACTTCAGAAACATATACATTTACCTTTAAAAAGGCTCAGGCTTATTTCCTAAAGCAGCTGGGCACTGTGGTTTTTAGCAACTCAAACAGGAGTAAATAGCGCATTTGTTGGGGACTATTTTCAGCTGCGGATTAATACACATTTGGTTCTCTAGTGAGTATCAATTGTAGCAGGATGGTGTTGGGACTGATTCAAAATGAACCAAAACCAAAAAACCAAAATAAATCGTAATGAAGGAACATGTCAGCCAGTGCAACAGTGTAGCTAATTTGTGTGTTTTTACTAGTTTTTGGTCACAAATGAAGCTCTATGACAAAGGAAAATACATGTTACTTGTTAAAAGTATCCATTCATTGTTGTTTCTTTTGTCTGTTTTTTAAAATGGGATTTGTTGACAAAAATATCACCACATATATCCTTTAAAGAGCATGACTTTTGTATCTGAAGCATTAAAATGTCACATGTTGGTGTCCATCAGAATTAAAGAGACAAACTTACTTATGACAAACATATAGTGACAAATACATACAAAGAACAGGAAGACATGCCAATTACTCCACTGACAGTGGCCTCAATTGCCCAGAATGCATTGCAGCCACATGACCAGTTGTTTATGAATGAGGGCTATAAGACTCCACAGTCACTACAGTTCACCCTAAAGACACATAAAACCCACAGTTCAATGCAAGCAGATCATGCTTAGGTAGATGATGAAGGCTGACATTAGGTAAGTAGAACTGAGAAGTAAACTGTAAAACTCCTGTGCATCAAACATCACAGCTTAATGAAACAACTGTGTACAAATGTCTTAGCTGCAGCTCCAACATGTGAAAAAAAGGTTTGAAGGAAATGTATGGTGATTACTCCTTCATCTGGCAATCTTCCCAACGGCTAATAAAACTACACTAAAATAATGTGCTTTGTCCCAAAATAACAGATTTGATTAATGGAAAAACACTACTGGGATATCGTCAAACTCTAATTTCCCCTGACGAATGCCAGTGACAACAATGAAAACATGACTACTTAACTGTAGTATCCTCTGAAGTCCTCTTGTCTGTGTCAGGACAAAGGCAGACGCTATTTAAGATTCCCCACACACACACAACACCAGCTCCACTGCCATTGTGGAAGCTCTATAAATACACCTGGTTAGAGATGCATATAGCTGCGCTGACATGGTACGTGAAACACTGACCTCATCCTTGTATTGTCTTACATGAAGCCTTGAGCATTGCAGCAGCAGGTTGGAACGTGATTCGGCTGCTCAAGCAAGTACACTGGGGTCCAGTGGAAACCAGTTACATACAACAAAACCATTTCTCTTGAAGGTCCAGAGTGTAGGATTTAGTGGCATCTAGTGGTGTAGTTGCAGATTACAACCCCCTTGCTTCACCCTCTCCTTTCAAGCGCTTAGGAGGAACTACGGTGGTTGCAAAAACACTGAAGGCCCTATTTAGAGCCAGTGCTAAGGTAACTAAAAAACAAGGATTCTTATTTTCAGGTGATTATATAATATTAAAAAAATACCTATAAAAGAATATTATATTCCATTTCTGCCAATAAATGTTACACAATGGACCTTTAAAGCTGTCAGCTGAAGAGGTTGAACACAACAGAAATGCGGGTCAGTGGGCTTGTGGATTGAAACCATTTTCTGCAGGTTACAGTAGAAGGGCTTTTAGCTCCGCCCTAAATCTGCTGATGAGCTTATCTCCATGATCTAATACAGACACCATCATCAGAGCTTGTAGATTATGATAAATCTATGAGAAAAGTGATTGGATGTCAGTTAGTATAAAAAAAAGGGTCAGCTATGACATCATACAGGCCAGTTGTTTTTCCATTAATGATAAACAGATAAAGAGGAGGTAAACAAGTTATGCCATATACACTGTAAATATACAGATTGACTTCGTACACATGCTAAATTTGCTCAGCAAGAGATAAATCAGTATACTTCAGGTCCAAATCAGTTTTATCATGGCCAGATTTTTAAGGCTTCACACGTCTAATTTCTACTAGCAAACATTCACTGAAAGTGAAAACACATTAAAACCGCTGTAATCTGGTGTTTTTCATTAAAGAGTGAGAGACACTTAGCAATCCCTAGCTAGTTTCCCATTATATTACAGCATAAAACACCTCTTTTCCAGCTGCGTCTGAAGTAAACCAGACTGCAGGTGTGAAAGCACCTTAAAGAAGAACTTCTCCCACCCTCTGATCTGCTCAGACACATCAATGCACCAAAGTAAATCAACGTACATTGATGGTTCCTGATTTAAAGGGTGTAAATCCTGGCTCAGAATCACTTCTTAAGTATGAATTGCTTTTATAGTCACAAATTGTTTCCACACCATATTGAGCCTTTAAACATCAGTTTCCCATTAAAACTAAGATGAGCAGCTCTGTTCATGTGGAATATGGACATATTTCTTCTTTTCTTCCGGGATATAAGTGAGAGTTCAGAAATACTGATCTGACAGCAGACCTGTCTCAGAATGTATGTAAAAATGCTTCAGATGTTCTAGAAAAAGGGCTTACTTGTCATTCTATGAATTATTGAATGATATTCCTTTTTCAGCTTCCTCCTTGTATGTGATTACTGTGGTGATGTTAATATTGACTGTGACTGAGGTGGAAAACGTCACTGTGGATGCTCTTCTGCCATGACGACTTCATCTGTCACACATTTAAAAATGAGGCACTTCTGAGCTGCTTTCAAGCTGCGTTCACGAGTACATTCGCTGGACAGCTGGAGCTGTCAAAGCAATGTTTTCAGGCCTGTTCTCAAGGGCTTTGCCACTTACGTAATAACCTGAATGAAATGTTAATGTCAGCAGAGTTGACAACGCAATAAGGGATTTCTCCTCAGACTGAACCAGTGGCAGGCGGAGTCAGACGTGTCGACTGCAGATCTCCTGCAGGAGCTGAGAAGCTCTCATCTGTCCTGGCATTTCAAAATAATCCACCTGTAATGACTTTATCTCCTTCCCTGTGGCATTTCACCAACATTGCCACAGGCCAGTGGAGACTCGTCACATGCAGCCACGGCTCCTCTGTGCTGTTGCTCAACTCAGGCACTGCAGAGCGGGAGAAGGAGGAGAAGGCTGGGTCACCTCTTGAAGCTTTTGGGCTCGTGGACAGAGACCTCGGGGGCACTGCTGGGCTGGTCTGGTCTGGCCGAGGTCATGTGGGCCTGTTTTAACACGTCAGCTGACTAAATTCAACCAAACTTCAGCTCCAGCTGAAGCCTGGGCAGCAAACCCACTTTCTTTGTTGCTGTTTTTCAGCTCTAAACTGAGTGACGGTGGCAAATTCATATAAAAGATACTAAATAGGTAAATCCACCCGAACTGCTTTAGACCATTTATGCTCTAATGCTCTTATTCTTTAAATAATGGCTCAATAATAAATACATTATTTCTACCTATTCCATGCTTTTTCTTTACATTCCCTATTCTAAACTCATCAACTCATAAAACAGTAGAAATGCAGGAAGTTGACATCTATACATTTCTTGTTTTGACTGACCAACCTTCAAAAACCAGAAGATATAACCAAACTGGAAGATATTCACATTTGAGGAGCTTAAATCAATGATTTATGGGGCATTTTTACCTCAAAATTACTTAAAAAGCAGATTAAATTTCTGTCCATCAACTAATTGATTACTTGACTTATCATTTCAGCTCTAACCTTGATGATGTAAAATGTCAGTCATAGGTTAACAGGGGGTATTAAAGGAGATTCAGTCTCCTCTATAACCGTCTGTGGCTGTTTGTTGTGATCAACAGGAGATCACACAGCAGCTTTTACACCAACACAACAGCCTACATTAACCTTCATCCACACAACTACAAGTGCACAGCAGCAGAGCACCCTTGTGTCCAGCTGTAAAGAGAAAGGCTCAGCCATGCCCCATCAGGTAGCAGCAGTGTGATGTAAGCAGCCTTAAACGCCTCACACATGACGAAAAATGCCACAGCCGTCCGTCACAGCTCTCAACACCGTGTAGCAGCAAAAAACAAAACCAGCCTTTTACACCAACAACATGACACAGATCTCATTCCCAGCTCCAACCTTCCTCTGCGACAATGAACCCAACCAACGCCGCTCTGGACGGATCTCCATCTCTCTCTCTCTCTCTCTCTCTCTCTCTCTCTCTCTCTCTCTACCTCATCCATTTATATCAGTGCGTCACGTTTATTGCTGCTGCTGCACTGTGTCAGACTCCACACACACACACACACACACACACACACAGACAAAACTGCAACCCAGATGTGGCGTCCAGCATACACCAGGCAACATCTGTAACGGCACATTCACGCATTATGTAAGAAAACAGCGTGACATTCATCCGAGGTGGCAGCAGCAGCAGCAGCAGCAGCAGCAGCGGTGGGGATGGAGGAGAGGGGTGGTGGGGGATGAGGTGAGGAAGGGGGAGAGGGGGTGAGGAGGGCTGGGAGCCTTGGAGCCCTGGCTGCGTACATACAGGGCTGCTGGAAAGGTGTTCTGAACCATGTCGATCCGTTTCGTTCGTGAGCATACGTGTTACGTGGTCTGGCAGGGGATTTGAATGGGGAACGGGAGGCTGCAGCTGTTCCACTGACAGACAGCGAGAGGTTTGACATTCCCCACTCCGAGCTCTGCTGGTCCGCCTTACTGACAGCAAAACATTAATACTATGTGGACTTAAATGTGAGGGGGGGGCTTACCTCCTCCTGTGCGCCTTCAGTCCGCTGCTCCGTAAACCTCCCCGCTATAAACCCTCTTCTCGGACGAGGAAGAGCAGGCAAGCCGCGCGCCTCCTGTCCAAAAACTCAGGCTGATTTTACCGCAGGGAAACGCTGTCGTGCGTAACAGTCCGCACCACGTACCCCGTACTGCTCCAACCTCCAAATATGCCGCAGATATGATCCACTTTCTCCTTGTCCACCCTTCTGTCTCTCTGTCGTAGTCCTGAGAGCGTCTGGTCTGAGGTCTCCCGTCTCCTTCCTCCCACAGCTCCTCTTTGCTCTGGTCTCCTTTTTCCTCTCGTCTACAACCGCTGCCAGTCGTACGCTGCGTGCACTCGCACTGCGCGTCCACGAAACGCAAGGGCCCTGTAGGGTGGGAGCTATATGGCAGTGTTATGGGTGGGTGGGATAATGGGAGGACCCTCTTGAGAAATAGCGGGTTGTTTCCAGGTGATGAATTGGCGGTTCAGTTTTAATTTCATTTTGATTCTTTCTTATAAAAGAGTGACCATGTATGTGTCACTCAGCACATGATATGAGTGTGGGGTGTGGCCAAAAGTGTGGACACCCCTTTCATCAACACATAGTGTGTCCTTTTAGTGTTGTTTTCTACTTCTACTTTACCACATATGATGCACAAAGACTATCCCGACATACTGACTGAGTCAGTAACCTGGAGAAAACCTGTAGAAGCCCTTTATTTATGACATTTGACTGTAATAAGTTTGGTGATCCTTTAATTCTTCCTCTTGCGCCACAATTGGGTAATTGTTTTCTAAAATTAGATTTTTAAAAATCACAATATATCGTTAGAGTATCGCAATATATCCCAATATATTGAATTGTAACCCTAGTATCGTGATACATATCATATCACCATATTCTTGCCAATACCTGCTCAGCTGTACTTTCTGTTCAGTGGTAACTGTAGATATAGTACTAAATGAATGTTTAACATTGAATCACTCTTTTTGTAGAAACAATAGTGTATTTCTGTTCACTTAATTATAAGAATGACTAACAGGTTTTATCCTCTTTGAGACGTGTTGACGACAAGCTCCCTGTGAGTCAATACTTCCCTCACTTAGCACTCCTCCTTGTCAACACAGATTTGTCAGTTGAAAGGTCAGTGTCACTTCATTTTTGTTATCACCGCGGGGGTGTTCAGTGAAATTCAATTCTTTTTGAGGTTCATAGAAATAACACACAAGTGAATCACAGGTGAATCTAATTATAGGAGATTTAGCAGCAAATCTCAGATAAACTGCTCCAGGGCTGCTTACTCTAGACAGACAATACCTCTGCTGCACTCTTTACCTTCAAGTGTGAGTGAGGGAAGAAAACAGATCGCACACACTCCTGTGGCGGGTTTGAAAACGTCCCACCTGTTCTTCATGGGATCGGTTTCCAGCCTGCATGGTGACATATTTACCAGCCAGACATTTTGAAAAGGAAATCCTCCCTTCGGCCCTGAAAGCTGGAATCCAACTCCGCATCGAGGGGCCCTCGGCGCGCACATTCAGGCCAGCGTCAGTGTCCAAAATGACAGGAGCTTCACATAAAATAACAGAGACAGTAGCTGAGGGCAGAAGGTGGGCTGATGGAGACAATAGACTGCAAAGGTTGAAACAGTGGGGAGTATAGCCAGGAGGCCAACAGGACTCTTCTGTCAACCAGAAAACTGAGATGGGTTAAACAAAAAAAGAAGAAAAAAACAGAGAAAGCAGCAACAAACAGGCCTCTTGGTATTTTAGTGAGTGTGACATTTGGACATTTTTTTACTGTAAAAGAAGAATCCATGTGTAAAAAAATGCAGGATGTGTTTGTAAATTATTCTAATGTAGAATAAAGATACAGCCAAATTAAAGGAATAGTTTGATATTTTGGGAAATAACAATATTTGTTACCAAATAACCACTCTCAATAATGTAAAAAAACAACAATGTATCATTACACGTTTCCAGTCTTTATGCTAAGCTAAGCTAACTGGCTGCTGGCAGTAGCTTCATATTTACAGACATGAGAAAGGAACATGAAACAAATTATGTCAAACTGGTCTTGTAATATTTTTTGTCTTCTCAGCCACATTGTATGGAGACCCAAAAAAATAACCAAGAAATTAATAATCATTTTGAGTAATTGCAGGCATAAGATGTTGTATAATCGTTAAATTCAAATGTATCAAACTATTATTTTGTTAAAGGTCCAGTGTGTAACATTCAGGAGGATCTATTGACAGAAATGTAGAATATAATATTAAATTTTATGTTTTCATTCGTGTTTAATCACCTGAAAATATGAAGAATGTTACCTTAGAATTGGCTGTTGTTATCTACGAACACCTTTCATGGAGGCTGCCATACTGAACCATAATGTTTCTACAGTAGCCCAGAAGGCACGAACTAAAAAATGGCTCTAGTTGCTGCGGTCTGACTAAACAAGTAGGTTTGGGGGTCCATACATTGGGACAATTCACACTTAATACTACTGGACATAAACCTGTTCTCCAACTCTCTCGGTACCCCTATCAGCATGACATACACATTAAATACTTGCATACTGTCACACCATAATACTCTCACACCCACCTGAGATGACACACAGTCTGATACCTGTCTCAGTTCCCAGCAATGATCCCTTGGATAACCCATCATTTCAACATCCATGCTAATTTTGCTTTGTGTCAGAGTTTCCTAATTATTTCTGATCAAGGCAGGCTTTGTGATTCATGAAATGGAGAACAAAAATAGAACCAACTTTAAAAAGGTAGATTAACTGGGCACCATCTTTGTCTGATATTTTCTTGGCAATGTGGGAAATAACACACACGGAAAAACTGATACTTTCCTGGATTCAAAACACCAAGTGGATAAAGCCAGTGACCCATAAAAGGGTCATACTGTATCGCACTAAGCACCAGAGAAATATAACAATAACTACATGTTTCTTTTTCACAAACGTGTCTCATTTGTTACTGTTGTAAAAAATAAACAATGAAAGTTAGTATGGAAGAGGGACACAAGCCTCTCCTGCTTCACTGACGGAGAAACTAAAAGCAAGATGAGCTTCTTCAGTTTGGATTTGACTGATGTGCCTGATGACTCGGCTGTTTTGCTTCTCTAACCTGGTAAAGTCTGTCCATCTAGGACTTAAAATGTCATCGGTGTATGTGTAAATCTTGCTACCCTGAATCTCGATAGAGGTCTTTATCAGGAACCAAATAACATTCACTTGAAGATGAACAGTGTTATGAGGATAGAAACATGGCGTCTGTGAATAGGTAGGCTTACCGTTAGTAACAAGAGTTTATACAGTGTATGCAATATGATTGATTACATTACATGCACTGGCTGGTGTAGTCTTATAACCTTGTGAAATCACGAAACCACAAGATCATGGGAGAATCCATCTTCCCAGCCTTCATGCTGTGAGCTTGTGGCCCAACTACAATCAACGTCCTTTAAGGAAGTACTGACAGCAACAGGGTGGGCTTTATATCAGAACTGGAGAATATTTGTCAATTGAAAGAAGAGCAAAGAAGCACTGAAAGCTTTTCTGAAAGAAAAGATGTTATCGCTCTTCTCTTGACAGTCAGTAAGAGTTTGACTCTACGTTATATGGTTCACTGATCTGATTGGCTGAAGTTTGGTCGTGATAGACAGTGTGAGACAGGTGGTTGATCCAATCACCTGACGAGTATTTTTTGATAGTACCGGCCCTTTTCCAAACAGTCTCAAATGATGAGCCAACCAATAATATTATACATTGATGTTTTGAGCTATATTTTTGGGACTATTTACTCAGTTTCTAAAAATTATTGATAAATCCATTCCAGCATCCGAGCAACTAATAATGTTATTGCCTGTGTCTGCTATGAACATTTAACTTTAGTTTAATTCCACATTCCTCTAATAGCTCTCATTATACAATGACATTATACTTGTTGCATCAGTCGTTTGGGTAGGCTACTTCGACCTTCTGCTCAGTATTCAGTATTTTACTAGTTTCCTAAATACATGTGAAAGTGTGTGTGTGTGTGTGTGTGTGTGTGTGTGTGTGTGTGTGTGTGTGTGTGTGTGTGTGTGTAAATGTTTGGTTTATCTGTCCATGCCATCTTACACATAGTGATTGGTGGCTGGTCACTCCAGCCTCCTATATTTCATGTGGGTGCTGGGTACCTTTTTGCCACTGCCCCACTGAGTTTTATTGGGGCCAATAAAAATCCCTCTGAGGCAGGCCTCCAGCACTGGCAGCTAAATAATGATTACAACAACGTAAGCCCTTTTAGTGATACCAAACAATTACAGGGGATTGGATAGTTCACATCCATCACTCAACCATAAGCTTGTATGTCAAAACATCAGGACAGGATTACACTTGAAAAGTCGTAGAATAGATGTTTTGGGTTCAGCTCAAAGGTTAAAAATTACAGTCTGCCCTGAGAACAATGTGAGACCTGTGTCAGAGACCTTAAAAAGATAAATATGGTGAAGTGGCTATAAACTCTGTCTTCACGCAGCTACGGGAGGATCTGTTATCCGGCCCCACAGCAGGCACCGGGGCCAACAAAACTAATCAAAACGCACTATTCGCCTCATCTCTGAATAAACAGTGTGGTGTTATGGCTTGTTTATTGCGGTGTTGCAGCTGGAACTCTCTACTTCCCTGCGCCAATCCTCTGAGAACAATGTGAGGATGTGATTATTTTTGATAATCTCAAGGTAAGCTGCCAGGCTGTGGCAACCCTCGGCTTTATAACGGAGAGGAAAACCTCAAACAAGAAACAAAGAGGTTTGTTCCACAATGCTACAGTAGCCTGTTGTAGATCCATTTGACTAATGTATAAATCATTGGCTGAGCTTTCGTGTGATTTCAGATGAAGAGACTGTGTATTTAGGGTTGAACAGGGTTTGTACAAACAAAGCAGACTAACTTAACTGACAACAGAGATGAGTGTTTATGTGTCATTATTCATTAAAATTAGAGTGCTTGGTTTGATGTTGGATAAGAATGAGCTGAATAAGCTTTGGGAAACACCTCTTCAATTTTAATAGCATGTCCTCCTACCCTTTACCCAATACTCGTTTGAAGCTATACACAGTTCATACAGCACTCAGGATGAGTCAGCATGATCCTCCATTTGTAACAGAAGTTATAATATATTGGGATGAATAGAGGAATGACCGAAAATCCAGTAGAAGAAAGATCCAAAAATAAAGAAAAGTACAATGTCTGTTTAAAAAGCAACCACACACACACACACACACACACACTGACACCCTGACCTCTGACCTCTCTGGTCAGGTGGTGAACCTGACCAGAGAGGTCGCCTCTGTAGGGAAGCAGCTGATTTACTGCACTGACCATAAATCAACCCTTCAGCAGCTTTGAGGACACCGAAGCTGATTCTTGACAGTTTTATAAAGTCATTTCCAGAGTTCAATAAATCCCAGCAGGTATACTTTAACGGTCCAGTGTGTAGGATTTAGTGGCATCTAGCGGTGTAGTTACAGATTGACACTGCCTCACTTCACCCTCCCCTTCCAAGTGTAAAGGAGAAACTACGGTGGCCAAGAACGAACGCCCCTATCTAGAGCCAGTGTTTAGTTTGTTCCTTCTGGGCTACTGTAAAAACATGGTGGTTTAACTCCATGGAAGGCAACCTGTAGATAAAACAGCTCATTCTAAGGTAACAAAAACATAAAAATACCTTTGCTCAGGTGATTATACACAAATGAAAACATACCTGTGAAATATTCAACTTCTGCCACTAGATCCTCACTGGACCTTTAAAGTAAATGGGCCTCATCTTTGCCAGACATTGAGGGCAAGGGGTCCCCCTGGTGGTAAAAATGATTAATAACACAAATACACTGCCAGAGGAACTGAGGTTTTGTTTAACTTAAATATGACAGTAGAAACCACTGAAAACCAAAACTTTGAAATTCAAATGCCTCAATTTACGTTTGCTATCTTTCATTCCAGTGTTTCATTTCCATAACCAAGTCTTCATGCTTGTTTCTGCGGCACCTGAGGAACATCTCCAGTCTCAGGCCATCATTTCCTGACTCCGTTAAAGAAAACGTCACCCAATTCCCATTACAGTCCTGGACCAGCTCCAGTAAGTCCAGGATTCTCACCTCTGCGTGTCAAATTCTCCTCCTCACATACAAGTATCTTCATAACTTGGTTCCTAGAAACGTCTGTAGGAATATCTTAATGGCCAATATGGACAGGGGGGAATTAATACAACAAGCAAAACTCTTACATATGGGCTTGAAAAACTGTGAACCTATCCTTTAAAATATCACCACTTTTGTATTGTGTTGTTAGTTTGAATGTGTTCATTACGGCTTTTATGAGCTGAATGTGTGAAAGTGATTTCCATCTGAGTAGCTATAAAAAGGAGAAGTGAAATAGATTCCCTTTTTTTTCATAATATGAAAATAAATTGCATTGCATTGTTATATCCTGTCTGGATCTGGTGTCCTTCTGATTGTGTAATGTATTGCGCTGTGTGTGTTGTCTCTTCTATTTGTATTTTATCTATTTATTTATTTATTTATTTATTTATTTATTAGGGACTACGGATGCAAATTAGCAGCTTTGCTATAAACCGGCATGTTTACAGAGATGTTTAAATATCGATGTTCATTAATGTGCACTGTCCCTATCCAAAAATAAAGCATTTATCATTTATTATTTATTATAAAGCTGAAGGAAGTTAAGCAACAAAGTGTACTCTGCAAGGTCTAAGAACTACTACATTTACTGGAACCACAATCACTGGAGTTGTACTGACATCCCATTTAAATTACTTGAAAGTGACTCAATAAACAATTCTATAGTTGTGTAGAGCGTGTACATTTGTGGGTATTCTGTGATAAAGTATGTGTACGATGGATTAAGTGTGAAGAAGGTGTGTTAAAAGTCATTATGAATTAACTGTGTCTATTATCGTCAAACAAATCAGACACAAAATGGATTCCACAAAGGTAGGGATTTCTAAGGAATAGGATTTTGGACAAGATCATTTATTCATTTATTTTGTAATTAGGTAATTAACTGAATTGTGTACAAAACAACTAATAATAACTTTATATTATAATATTACTAAGAGGTAGTTTGGATGGAGAAAAGTCACAAGATAACAGAAACATAAGATGTAGCAATGCTTTCATTTACCTCAAAACATATAATTATATATAATTAACATATAATTATATATAATTAACATATAATGGCTGTATTACGAAGTCAAGTGTGGGCGCGCCTAAATGTCGTCGACACAGCGACACTTCTGGTGATGTCATCAGAACGCGCCTCACAGAAAGCTCTTTAAGCGGTAAGCATTTTATGATTTTATGGTTTTACCAGCTAATATTATATCACTGTCTTATTTAACATTAATATCTTCTATCTGAGCTCCCGTGTACCAGACTTACATCAAGTACTAGCCGCTAGCTACGTGTGAAAAGCATCAAAGCTACAATTGTGTTGATTCATGTTTTATTTGTGCTAACAGATTTATAACGTTAGTCAGCGTAAACCCAAACAGCCCGAGCTAATATAAGATATTATATAATATATAATATATAATATAAGTAATATATTATACATTATATATCATGGTTTAATACCAAGCGTTGAGTAGCAGTCAGCGCCTGTTTGGTGTCTTTCACTTTCACTGACGACCAGCTGCAGATGAGCCAGCAGATCTGATGTAGCTTCAGTGTTTGAACGACAGTGTAGCCGGTTAGCTCCTGTCGGTAAACCTCTCTGTCTAAAGACAACCGGGTAAACTTTCTGTTTGTTTTCCACAGTGGCAGGATTTTGACTGCAGTCTCCAGAAAATGGTGAGTAAACTGGCTTGCCAGTATAATTGTGGAGTTATATTATACTAATGATGTCTTTCCTCTGCCTTCTTGTGGGATTCTTCTGGAGCCGGTCTACAGAGTCCTGCTGCTGTTGTCCGCTGTCCGCTTCTTTCTTTGTGTGATTGAATGAGAAACAATATTTCTGTTATTATTCGTCCATTAGATTCCTCAGGATTTTATATTTTGATGCTGTGTGCAATCCTTAAAAGACCTTAACATACAGATGGGTGAAAAATTAAAGGAAAAACACAACATAAAGTGTGTCAGTAAGGTGTTAGGCCTCCACGAGCCTCCACAACTGCTTCAGTCTAGTTACTCTACTGAGTAACTTATGAGCACATTTCTTCAAAAAGATATTCCCTCATTTGGTGTTTTGATGATGATGATGATGATGATGATGGTGGAGGACACTTTCTTACATGTTGCTGCAAAATCTCTCATAGCTATTAAATTGTGTTGAAATCTGGGTGTTGTGAATGTATACACTCATTAAACCATTCAGTGACTCGTTGTGCGCTGTATGGAAATCTCTGCATTTATGATATTGTTACTCATCTCTATAGTTCATTTTGGATTGTAGGTGTACGATGCAGTCTACAAAACACACTTTGTCAATGGAATAATTGAATTGGTTATTTTGGCTGTAGACTGCAGTGTTATCCATTCTACAAGCCACCTTAGCCACAAGATAAGAACGAGAACCACACTTCAGAGAAGTAAAGGTCAAGAGGGAGTAAACCCAACAGAATGGTATGGGGCAAAATGTTTCTAGTCAAATGTGGAAGACAGTTTAAGAGAGAAAAAGATTACTTGTTGTCCCTGGATTAACCCCAACAAAATATTCTCAATTACTTGTTGCTCTGTCGTCTGTATTTTAAATTCTATGTAAATTAAGTTCCATCTAATTTTCAACGGCTTTCCGCTTCCTTTCAGTCTCGTCGATATGATTCACGAACAACCATCTTCTCACCAGAGGGTAAGAGCTCCTGAATACTGCAGATTTTTACTGTGTGAAGTTTCTTCCATTTTGATTTTATAGTAGAAGTTGTATAAATATAACCAGAAGCAGGGATCTTGTTTTAGGTTTTTTGTTGTTTGTTCGTTTTGTTTCTTGCTTTTTAGGGCTTTGTGCTTGCGTCCTCGTCCTGACAGCATTGTGTTTCATTTGCAGGGCGTCTGTATCAGGTTGAATATGCCATGGAGGCCATCGGCCACGCCGGCACCTGCCTGGGAATTTTAGCCAATGACGGAGTGCTACTGGCTGCTGAGAGGAGGAACATTCACAAGCTGCTGGATGAAGTGTTTTTCTCAGAGAAAATCTACAAGCTGAATGAGTGAGCTACTTCTGCATCAGCCTTTCTTTTTTTTTTTTGTGGCATTGGTTCAACCGCAGTGACATATTTCTCTAACAGCCTCCCTCTATTTCCTTGCAGAGACATGGCGTGCAGCGTGGCAGGAATCACATCAGATGCCAACGTGCTGACCAATGAGCTGAGACTTATAGCACAGAGGTAAGCTCCAGTTAGGGACACGGTCTTCTTCTTAATTTCTGCTGCAGTCAAATAGTTGTAGTGGGACAAAATACTGTGTTGCTGTTTCAGGTACCTGCTGCAGTACCAGGAGCCAATCCCCTGTGAGCAGCTGGTCACAGCTTTGTGTGACATAAAACAGGCCTACACTCAGTTTGGAGGTATGAAGCAGCACCAGAGTTTACATCCTGACGAGACAGCTTTGAGATCATCTATGCAGTGACCAAATTGTGCCTTTTTAGTGGGTTGGCATTTGATCTACCTAGAAACACATAGCCTCACACATGTAAACAAACTGGTGTGCGCAGATAAAAAGGCAGTTAATTTAGTTGGCAAGTTGTCCCGCAGATCCAGTTAGCTACAATAACGTATCTAGTATTCATTTTAGTACTTGGGCAAGACTCGCGCTGCTGATCCTGATATGAATTGTTTTGACACAGTGAAGTTACCTGAACCACTATAGTGCAAAGTTAACTTGTGAAGGACTTGTGAAAATAAGTCCTGTTAACTTTGCATCATGGTATTTTTCTTGAGCAACTATAAAGTATTTAGGTTTTATTTAGGCTGAATCATTATTACGATGACAGTGTACGTGTGTCTGTCTCACAGGAAAGCGTCCCTTTGGAGTCTCACTGCTCTACATGGGCTGGGATAAACACTATGGCTTCCAGCTGTACCAGAGTGACCCCAGTGGAAACTATGGAGGCTGGAAGGCCACCTGCATCGGAAACAACAGTGCTGTAAGTCTCACAGGAGTGCTTCAGGGCTCTCGTCTAAGAATTAAATCATGTAAAATAGTTATAAAATATATATATATATAATTATTATACATTTTATTATAAAGGAATAAAGGACACTAATACATGTGGAAACTGCATTTTTGGATTTGATCACTGCGCCGATGTATTCAGACAAACTGTTATTCCACGCAGTGACACTTGAGGGCGCAGCTGCTCAACGTTTTTTAAACACTGTGGCCATGAAAAGCACTGAACCCTCACAATTAACAGACATTCTGTGGCCTACTTAGTGCTGACTCTTGAGGCAGCTAATTGTGTAAGTCCTGATTCCTGGTGGCTTTACTAATCTCAGTGGGTCTCCACAGGGCTCCACACAGGGCATTGTGGGTAACAGATCCGCCTGTGTGAACACCTTTTGTCCAAGATGCCTTACGATAAGCCTGAGTTCATGCACTTTTAGTTTGGGTGTCTCCAGTGAGGAAACACACACCCGGTCCTGACAGTGTTAGTGTTGTGCTCCACACAGTGAGCCGCACAGGAGCGGATATCAGATTTGGCAGTAATGGCCTGAGACCACAAGATAAACTGAGCTATAATGCAACGTTCATGAAGGAAAACAGTTTATAGTCAATTCTGCAGCACTAACAAGAAGGATGGTGTTTTTGGACTGTGGCAATTAAAATGATATTTACTTTATCTCTCTTTTTGTTTCCTTTGCTCACTTCTAGGCAGCGGTCTCTATGCTGAAGCAGGACTTCAAAGAAGGAGAGATGGCACTTTCCACGGCCCTTGCTCTTGCCGTTAAAGTTCTCAATAAAACCATGGACGTCAGCAAGCTGTCCGCAGAGAAAGGTGCGGATTTGAGCAGTTATGTAGAGAGCAAATGAATGTCATCCTAATGTTTAAATCACAATAGTCAACAAGTGATTCTGCTCCTTTATTTTCTATCCGCACTTACAGCTGGTCTTTATAACAACCTAATGAATGATGTGTTCATGGATAAGCAGGGTGTTACTTTCTTCTGCAGCATTAACAGCACATAGCATTGCCTGAAAATAAAGGTCACCTATTCATTTGTTTAGCTTGTCTGCATGTGTACATAATGCGTCCGCACAACACGTGAGATATCTTTCCAGATCAACCTGTTTGGTGGCTGATCAGGTGATAACTTCACAGTAACCTCCTTGTTGCAACATGTTCCAAACACTGACACTGCATCCAGCTGAACTATACATTATGTAGACATTTGGATATAGATAGAAACCACAAGTATGTGTATATAATAACATAATACGTTATCTTCCAGCAGCTGGTTCATGACTGTCTGTCTCGGTCTCTGTCGTTTCAGTGGAGATCGCCACTCTGACCCGCGAGAACGGCAAGACGTGCATCAAAGTGCTGAAGCAGAAGGAAGTCGAGGAGCTGATCAAGAAGCACGAAGCAGAAGAGGCCAAAGCCGAGAAAGACAAGAAAGAGAAGGAACAGAAAGAGAAGGACAAGTAGTGCCGCTCCCCACACTTTTCTTGTTTTCTTCTTCTTCTGTGTGTGAGAACGAATGTGAGTGTGGCTGTAAAAAGTCTTCAGGTATGTTTGCAATTGTGTTGTTTCCTAAAATAAATCCAGATGACGAATAATTGACTACTGATTTTATTTCCTATTTAGTTGTTTTTGTCTGTTTCATGTTAAATGTTGCAGTGTTTGGTCTTAAAAAGTTCATAATGCTGTTTATTTATGGTCAAAACAAGAATTTATTACTTTTTAGTCGTAAAGCGATTTAATAGCGTCACTCGTAAAGTGAGTCCACTTCAGAGGTTTAAACGTTATTTATCCCCTACGATTTATGGGGATTTGCAGTTGAAATCAATATGGGATTTGAGCTTAATGTGTGTGTGTGTGTGTGCTCAGTCTGTTCTAAGACAGAGCAGATGGTCTCAATGTATTCTGCATGAATTGTGTAATGCATACTTTAAACTGTTATGAAATAGGAGACCATGATTATTCAATGGTATATGGATATATTCACCTTTGTTTGAGTGGGGCTGTTTTCCAGTTCTTGTTGTTAAACAGGAAGTGTATCATCCTTCAAACCTCCTATCAAAAAAAAAAAACTCCCTAACTCTAAACAGCAGACAGACACAGTTAGCAACTAGCTGGTGAACATAGTGGATCTTTTAGCAGCTACAGAGCCAGATATTTCCCCCTCAGGAGCTGGTGAAGACCAGAAGAGTAAATATTAAGTGCTCATACTCCCCAGGTGGACACAGACAGGACTCTAAATGACTGATGATGTCTCTCCATAACTGGTGGATGTGTAAATAAGCAACTGATGCTGAAAAGTTTACCATATCAATTTAAAATATGATTTGTCAATGTTGTGTTCATAACTAGTTTCTGCTGCCCCCAAGTGGCCAAAAGAAATACAAGTAATTGCAAGTTTAAAGAGAATATACAATGAGGTGCAATGTTCACTCTTGAGCTTGTAAAACAGCCATTAAATTGACCTTGTGGTTATTTTTTTTCAGCTGCTGTTTCTTAGGTCAAGAATAAACTTTAAAAAAAGAGAAAAATATGAACATCTCCATCAGCTGATAAAGAACGTGTGATATGATCGAAAGCTCCAGAACAGCTACAAACCTTGTGGTTGAGATTATTTTGTCAGCAGTGGTTATGTCGGGACATTTCATGATATAATACAGAGCAGAAGCACAGAAAAGTAGGTTCTCATTCGGGCACATTACATTTGATGTGCTCTTCAGTGAGGTCTGCAGCAGCGCGAGTCTCTTTAGAGGGGATTAGCTATTGACTGGCTGCTTTTAACTCTGCTTAATGGATGCTGGAAACTGAGATGTGAGGACGTATATAGGCAGTTTCTGAGAAATCCCATGCTGTGAGTGTAGCTGGTGCTGTAACCGCTTATCAGCCTCAATCTGAGGTGAGTTTATGTAAAGTCAACATAGGATTAAGGCCAGGAGGGGAATATCTGCCTCTTGTCTTTAGTCTGGGAGATTAGTGACAGAGCTTGAATGCCTGACTTCAGTTTTTTTAGTGCAATGTTGTGTCATGTTGGCTGCTGGTGGGGCACCCCTGAAGGTCTAAATATCAACACAAACATAGGGAATTTCCCAGATGTGTTGTGGTTAATTTGTCTTCTTTTGTTGGTGTGACAAAGGACAAATTGGTACCTGCCACTTCTCAGAATTAGAGCAGTCCCTGTACTGCTGAATGGATTTTCTCCTTCAGGAGACAACAAAGGTTTTATAGCAGGTTGCTGCTGTATTAGAGACTCCAATATAGCCCAGCTGAGTCTGTCCTGGCCCGGGCACTGAAAATAGATCAAGATCAACTGACTTGGGAGGTTGCCGCCTTTGGCGAGAAGCCAGCGGTGAGCTGTAATGTACAAGGAGCTGAGCTGGTTAGAGATTAGCGCCTGAGTCAGCGATCGGCTCGAACACAGCTTCCCACATCTACTGTTCCTGAAAACAGAAACCACTTTCATTTCCTCAAATTGGCCTCATCATCATCATCATCACTGCTCTACTTTCACATTTCATTGCCTTAATTTGGCTGCCATGGTGTCCTTGTGTAATTGTACTTATTTTACATCCTCCAGTATGTTTCCTCAGTTTTATAACCTTGGCTTGCTTCCTGTGTTGTTCCCTCTACATGTTTACTAGTACAACACTTAACAAAAAACAACAATAACAGGTTTAGATAACAAGTTTTATTGCCCCCGCCCCCAAGACAAAAATTTGCAGAGTATACAAGTGTGGATTGTCATTGAATGGTTGCTAACTATGTCACCGAGAACAAAACATAAATCCCTAAACTATCACAGTAAACATTTGAGAAATATACATACATAAAAATATACCTCTGAGAAAATTCATATATTGACAACAGCTTATAGTCAGGGCTCAATCAGTAGCAACGAAGACTCATGATCTGAACACATGCAGAAGAAAAAAGGCCCCCACCCCATCCCAACACCAATATGGAACAGACTACTATCATGTTTCTCTGAGGTGTTACAGGTAGTATGGCTAGCATGGGGAATGTAGGTTGAAATTGCTTTACACACCAGGTCTAAATAAGCAGAATTTTGAAAGCAAGGTGATTTGAATTGATAGCGTGTTACAGACAGAATGGATTCTTTGGCGTTTTTGTTCAGAGTACTAAAAACCACAAAACAAACAACAAAAAAAAACCTGCAAAAGATTCCTTCTGTGTTTTTACTCTAATTGCATATTGGGTAATCACCTGAAGTGCTCCTGTTGTACCCATACGATGAGGTCATTGCCTCACGTGGCATGGGTCTGAATCTGCATGGGATGAAGTGAGGAAAATGGACACGTTCCTCAATAAGACTCAAGAGCAAAAATATTGACATTGCACTCTCCTCTTTAGGCACAAGAAGCCCCGTTTCAATCGAGCTTTCAACTGGTGCAGGACAGTACTACTGACGACTCTACTGAGCTAAATGAAGCCTCTCTAGACCCAGTTTGTGCTTCTCGTGTATTATAATCATCATCAATCCAGTCACAGGGTATCTGTGATCTCTGAAATACCCAGAAGGCTGTTTAACAAAACTGTTCTGAAGAGATTTACAGAACTTTGTTTGCTGCATGATAAAGGTTTCCTCAAATTGTAGATTATGTCAAAATAAAAGTTTTGTTAAGAGTTATATTCTACATTCATCTTAAAATTGTATTGTTTTACATTTTCATACAAAAAAAAAATATCTTTCTTGTGTTGTACAGAACAAGCAAGGACAATGTCAATTCTGGAAACTTGGATAGAACATATTGGGAGACAGTTTAAAACTAATTTTCATCCATATGGTTAGAAGGGTCTTTATAACAAGCGGCTGTTGTTAAACAACTTTCTATTTATGTTTAACAGCTGCTTAGCTAGACTTGAATGTAATGTCAATACATGAGAGGCACAGACTGAGGCTTCACTACATTCAAACATTGTGTTTAAGTAACAGTAAGTGGAGCTTCTCTTTGAACCACCTCAAACCAAACATTATTCAGCTTATGATCTTTGAAGAATAAAAAGCATTTGTTTCTGTGTGTGAGGTGCAAAGTGAAACAACAGCAAGGCCGTCCTCCTCTCCAGCTCGGCAATAACTCACACCGTCAACTGGACAGGTTGATTACTGCGCAGAGGAAGAGGAGGAGGAGGAGGAGGAGTGAGCTGGCAGCCACCCTGTTGTGACATTCAACATACAGGCTGCTTCTTAGCTTTGACACATCTGGAGAGACTAACAGGGCATTTCCACATTTGTGGTTAGATTGTTTTTGGGCAGACAAGAGCTACAAAAAAAAATGATGAATGCTGGAATGATGCCTCAATATATATCAGGAAGAGTGTAAAGAAATGTTTACATATGCTTCAATGTTAAATGTAACACATGAGGCTGTATCCCCACCTATATTATAAAGCAAACAAGATTTTATTGACCATACAAAACCCATAATTCCCTCTCTTTAGCCTTACAATCACTGCTTGCATGGTATACAGCACACAAAGACAAACAAAGTCTCTTTCCTTATAAAAAGGTCAAAGCTGTCAGAGGAGAGATATGCTGAATTTTAATGTAAAACACCACCTTCTCCTGAATGTCAACAGTTGGTTTGTTGATGGCAGCACAAAAAAAATTAAAAATAACGTGGTTGAGAGGAACCACTTAGCAGGAAAAATAAGAATCCCACGATGCAAGTGATGTATAAGTTCAAGCTACGCCGCTCCTCGTTTCTCCAATCCGCACTTATCCTCTGGGAAGGGAAAGGGGGGAGGCGGGGGGCATCTGAGTCACATGGAAATCCTACCACTCCCAAACACCCCCTTAAATCACAAGTCTATTAAAAAAAGTGACACCTCCCAGTCAGTGATGAAGGATTTCTAGAGGAGGAGGAGGGGTTTGTGTCAGAGCCAGAGTCAAAGTGGATTTGATTGCATGAGGAAGAAAAGAGGCAGAAGGCATGTTTCTATCAGGGAGGGAGAGGAGGGAGGGAAGGGAAGGGGGTAAGGGTGGGAGAGGGAGGTGTCAGGAGACCGTGTGGCAGTCACTCCTCGTCTGAGCTGCTGTTGTCCAGAGAGTATACCATGAAGGCCAGATCAGGTCGGGCCGGTACCATGGGGTTGCCCGGCTTCACCATCTCAAAGCCCATGTAGTGGAACGTCTTGATGATGGACACTGGGGAGGAAAGCAGGACAGAGTCAGAGGTTCTACTGGTGACACCTGAAGTCTCAGGTTCTGCATGTTAATTACACTAAAACACTAGTTTTAATTTAAAAGGAATGGTTCCTCTCTTTGGGAAACACTTTTCTTTCCCAGAGTGAGATGAGAAGATCGATATGAATGTCTGAGCTGCAGTCAAAACTTAGTTAGCTTAGCATAAAGACTGGAGACAGGGGGAAACTGCTAGCCTGGTTCTTTTTCAATGGATCGCGTCGAAAGTAATTTTTTGCTAACATCAGTGAGAACGGAAGCTCAGGTTGGTCAGCTAGCTGCAACCAAACCACAATGAATAACTGTATCCAGTGCCGGCCACCGCGCAACGCCAGCAAACAAAGTAACCCTGTGAACGGCAATCCAGCCAGATCACCCCCTCCATTTATAATGTTGGCTAGTGTTGCACGCTGTTGACAATGTAGGAAAAGGCACTTGGGAGGGTGTATAATAATAATAATAATAATAATAATAATAATAATCATCCTTTGGATTTTCGTGGAAAATCCAACCCATATCCCTACGTAGAAATGCAAAAAAAATCCGTCCACAGGCAACGAGAAAGCCAGGGAAGGCCTCATTTTTTAGTTACACATTGGCAATGAAAAGCATTTAATACATGGAAATATTACATAAAATGCTTCACAATCTCACATATGGAACCTTAAAAAGGTTTTGGAGTATTTTTCAACTTTTAAAAAGGAGAGCCGTTAACCTTCGCTAACCCCGCTGCAGAGGACCACTCAAGTCAACTGACAAAACAATTTGCCCAGGGAACTCTAGTAAATCCACCCACATACACACTCTACATGAAGTAAAAAATCTTTACGATCGTCTGTGTACTCAATTAACAACTCAGGTCTTCGTATTTTCAAATCAATACAAAAAAGGTTGTGAGAACCAAAAAAAAATAAATACTACAAGCAAACAATATTTAAAAATAAGGGCACTTACATCGATCCTCTCTGCCTTTATGGAACCACAGGAACACATAGTTAACTTTGAGCTTCTCTTCTGCAAACTCGAGCAGAGCAGTGAGCCTGAGGATGACATGAGCACAGAGGGAGAGGGCTGGTAAAGAAGGGTGATGACGCACACAAAGTAGTTTTTATTTTTTTCCTCTTTACATAAGCACTGCAACTTTACATAATAATGCAGTAGCAGCTGCAAAGCTGGATGCCAAAACTACTGGCTGTGTGCCCACAGCAGGCAAGGTTACTCTGTCCTGGCATTGATTACAACCAAACACAAAGCCAGGCAATGAAAGCAGAAACTAATAAGTTTCTGTTTTCATTGCCTGGCTTTGTGCCTTTTAATTAAGGGCACATTGATAGCATTAAAACATAACAGCCTTTCCTTTACAATTTAGACCCATATGATGTGCAGACTTCCACTAAATTGCTCTGTTAGACAGGCTTATTTCTATTTTAACAGTATATTTCTGATACTGTGAGGAAACAATTGATCTTAACATAAGCAATTGCTTATTTCTTTCAAACACTCAAACCAAAACTAAATAGGAGAACTGAAGAACATTAAGGAATATTCCAAGATTGAAGTCTCCTTTGTGGGCTTAAATAACCTTGCGAGGCAGCTGGACTCGCAAGATCACAAAATCATGAAGGAATCCATCTTTGGTTTGGTGTAACAAACCATGTGGAATAGTCAGGTTAAGGCTTAAAATGGTGAATCTGAAAAGACCTCCTCAGAGCTCCCCAAAGGTTGCATATTTAGCGATTCATTTAACAAACTTTTCTCAAGTGCACCTTTTTGGTGGAGTTTACAGAGGTAGCCTGCAGGGACTTCATTGTAAATAAAGTTGCTACAGAGTAATTTATTTTTTTTAATGTGTTTCAAGTAAGCTGATCCTTACCCCTCTTTGCTCCCCTCCACCAGTGGCCCGGCAGGGATCTCAAGGAAGAGGCTGTCTTCTGATAGAGCCGTATCCCAGGAGGCCGAGCGGCGCTCACTCAGCTGGTAGTGGAAGCGGAGAAGAGAGGGGTTCCCACTCACTGGAGCGCCCTGTGTCACTGTTAACTTCTCATCCTGGGTCAGACAAAAAAAACAAAAAAAACAACAGATTCAGTTTAATTCAATTGTAATTTTTCAGCATTAATGCTAAAATTCATTTTAAAACTGAAGACTGCTTTGGCTAGAGCACATGAGGGTTCAGTCACATACATATTGTAAAAGTCTGAATTATGAAAGTTTTCCACTTCTATTTCATCAGAAAATAATAATTAAATTACATTTTTAGTTAATATAGACTTAATTATTGTCGATGTTAAAAGAACAAGTCACCTAACTTGGGAAAGATACCAGGTTACAAATCTGTTAGTGTTTACATTCGGGATTGTACATTGTTGTTACCCACCACACCACTGGGCACTTTAAAAACCGGATAACACATTAAATGTCAAGTGTAAAGAGGACTTTCTGCATCTGAGAGCAGTTCTGAAGTGAAATGAGTCAAAGAGGATGTGGTTGTCGCGTGGGTATCTTGAAGAAGCTGTATCATAACTGATGTGTGGTTTGACAAACCACTTGCATTATTAACTTACTGAGCTTTTGGTCATATTTTTTTCAGGCATATCAATTTGTACTGACAGCATCTAACAACAACAAGCACGAGTTCTGTGTCAAAAGCAGTGATGATATCAATGTGTGGCCTGTTTGTTTGGTACGTTAGTTTTTATAGCCGTCTAATAATTGGGATGATTTGATTACTGTCAAATGTTCGCATATATTGGATCTGATGTTTTCTTAGTCATAAATACTGAGCAGCATTGTCAGTCACTGTGGATGACGTGATGAAGATGCAACCGTTATGTAACAATGAGTAAATAAATACTGAAGCAGACATGTTAATCAAGTTATACTGTGTTACACAACTTAAATGTCTAACAGCAAATACAATTCTATGTAAATGTAAGCAAGAGTTTGTGTTGTAAGTTGTAAACCAGTACTCTGTTACAGAGTTCTGTGCTGGCTGAGGACAGATGAGGATGTCAATATGACAGTTGTGACTCATCTGTCTGATCCTAAATCTCTAATCCCCGGGGACGGCCAGGCACATGTCTGGGGTACAACTTGACACGCATGCTTATAACTGTACTGGTTTTCCTTTCTGATGTTATTTAAAATAGAATAAACTCATTACTTTATATTATAAAATGTGAGCCTGCCAAGAGGAAACTGGGTGAATGAATGAATTCATGCATTAAATCCACTGCAGGTGCACATTATGAGCATTAGAAAGATTAAAGGATTTTTAAGCTTTTTTTTTTTTTTTAAAAAAAGGGAATTTGCAAAATGAGGGTACAACTCATTAGTGAGGTGTTCCTGTGTTTAGTGCACTGAGTCAGAGTGGTCCCTGAGGGATGAAGCACTTAACACAATTATTACCTTAAGTATTGTTTTCCATTATTACCATTTAAAACCATTTAAAACCATTTAGCTCTTATAGAATTTACTTCATCTTAAAATAAAAAGCCTTTAAAAATACCAATCTGGGACAAAGACTTATATCATCACAAACTCTTGTTTCATAACGTTTGATGTCCCAGTTCAAATATCACATTCACAAGTTGCCAGTGTTTCTGGTATCACAGCAGTTAAGGTGACAATTATGTGGCCGAGTTTTGCTATTTAATTCACTAACCAAAACTTCACCACAACTTCCCTGCTGTTTTATGCTTAGCAGTATGTTGCATTATAGGTTCACATATGCAGCTGTTACCAGAAAGCTTCACACATGTTGAACTACAGCTCTCTGTGTTGTTGTGTGAAGTCGAGAACTGTCACCTTGTGTAGTAGCACGCCGAGAGAGTGATCCCTGACAGTCCCTCGCCCACCCGGGATCTTCAGTTGTGGGTGAGGGGCATCAGGAGCACCACAGAGGCCCCGGAGACTGAGGGATGGAGCTGGGCAGCCGAGACCCAGCTAACCAGGAACTGGAAAGAGAAAGAAGAATCTGTTAGTGTTTCAGATGGTTTCACTGCACCTCATCCTTCCACACACACACACTGCAACTGCAACATTCACCTGAATATCACTTGACTTTCTAATAAAACAGTTGAAGGAAAAAGTTTGGCAAAAGAGGGGGGGGAACTGATGCTTTTGGAGGAACTGATGCTTTTGTTTTGTTATTTTTTTAGCTTTTTTTAAATTGGCTTTGCAAATTTAGTTTAATTACGTTTAATGAGGAAGTAAATGCACTTGGCACATTTTTTTTTTAGACCTCAAGGATTCACACAATGCATTTTGGTGAAAAAACTCTGCCTGTAAACTTCTGTGTGTTCACAAAAACCTCCACACGGCATCTTTAACTCAAACAGACAGAACTGAAACTGAAACACGATGACTAACCCTGCTCTGCTACTGAATGTAAACCTCTCAGCTTGTTGCCTCACTCTAAGTCCCATTTTAACTTCATTAAGGACGTTCCTGTAATTAGCAAACCTAAAGCACCTGTGGCAACGTGGCCCACCACTGCAGTGTGGAGGACAGCCAGAGGGACTTAACATGATTACACTGTTTGCTTATTTGTTGGATCCCTTTATGTAATTAGCAGGATTCCAACACTTTACCCAGACAACTGTACAAGTGTACAAAATCCTCCTGTTTGACTTCATTCCTACTGTACTGTTTGCCTCAGACTGAAGAATGTGAGTTTAGAAGTATTAGCACACTGACTGCTTTAAACAGTTAACCCGGTCTTGTTGGCTATGTACACACACATTTCATCATAGTCATCCAACCTTGTGACCACAATTCAAACAAATTTAAATCATAATGCATACACAAAGAACAAAGCCTGTGATGTGATGCAAACAAGTTCATCAAATTATTGAATTACTCCTAGCAAGTTTCAGTCCATTGACTCTCCTGAAAATCCATCACAGGCAGTTTGTTTATGACGAGCCTACCACACAGACCAAATTAAAGCCAATGATTTATAACAGCATTCAAAGAGTTCCTGATGGGTTGTGCATGTGGTGGAAAGCATGTAGCAATAACAAGCACATGATCTGTAAACACCTCTGCAAATAGCTTGGGTGGCTTTCAGGAACACACATCTTCAGCGTTTTGAGTTACAGACGCGAATCTCAAACCAGACATGATGGCAGCTGGCCGATGCTGCCAGATGGGCCTGGACTCTGGATTCTCATATTGTCAAATTTTGGCCTTTATAAATGAGCAAAAGACCCTGGGACATTACTGAGGTTGTTTTTTTTTTAAACCTCACATTTTACACATTCTTTTGTCTGACACTGTACCAGCCAGACCAACCTGTTTGGGACTCAAGAGCCACAGAACAACATCAGCATTTTACGAGAGGAGAAGAAGCTGTGGCAAAGTTTCCCTGCAGACCAGACAGGTAACCTGGACGACCTGATCTGCATAGCTACAAGCCAAAGCGAGCAATGGAAAACAAAGCTCATTATACCTGGACTGTTCACCTCACAGCAGCAACTGCACGCACCCTTTCCCCTGTCTCGTCACTTCCTCGGATCTTAACTATGCACAGGCAATGTATTACTGAAGCATTAAAGTGTAGATAGAACCTGCTCTCTCCATTTGTAGAAAAAGACATTTGATGACATCATTTTGTGCTGTAAGATATTATAATAGTATTTAGTATTAGTATTTCAGTGTTTTCTGATGTTTTACAGACCAAACTATTAGTTGATTAATTGATGGTATTATCAGCTAAATGTACTTAATGTATCAAAGTTCTCATTATGCAGCAGAATGGCTCCTTTCCATTTCATATTTTACTCACACACAGATGGATGAACATGTGAGCAGCATAGTAATTTTTTTACAAGTCATGGGTGAGCAAATCACTTAACTATTTTAATCAACTTTAGGATAGTTAAATATATAACAATAAATCAAAATGTATAAGCTCATCATGGGTGTGTGATGTACATTACAAGTACATTAAAATTGTACTTAAGTACAGTACTTATATAAATGTACTTTTATTTTTATTTATATTCACTACTGACAACTGAAAACACATAAAAGGAATAGATGCTAAATAACTAAAATAGATGCATAAAAAGGTTGCAGTCAAGGACACTGACAACAGCAGTACCCAGCAGGTATAACTTCTACTGAAAAAAGTCTACTAAATCTACCAGAATCTCCTTTAAAAAACAGCGTAGTTGGTTTTAATGGTCTGCTGCCAACATTCACCTCATTCCAGTCTAGACAGCCAAGACTTTCTCTTCATTTATTCCACAGAAACGAAACTGATGCAGACTGTATCAGGGACAACAGGTAGGGTACAGATGGAGGAGGAGATAAGCACGCTCGCCAAGATGTCAAGACCTGCTTCTCTTTTTCCATCTTCCCTTTCAGAAACAGACAGAAGAGCCTGTCCTTGATGGAAATGCCAGCTTGTTTTGAAAGGCAACACTTTCGTCCTCTGACATTTCAGCCACACTCCAAGCAGCCCTCCCCACCCTCCTGTCCCATGATGCCACTCAAGCTGGAAGGCTGCAGCCTTTAGCCCCCAATAGATCACAGGGTCATCCTAAAAACAGAATATAGGTTACATTTTTAAAGAAGGTGTACTTGATGGGTGAAACAGGCTGTGCACTAACTTGAGGGCCAAGCACGCAGACAAGTCTGGGCTATATTAATATGCTGGTAAGGATTCAATCATCTGTGTGTTGCGGGAAGACTGAAAGATGCCAAGTGCGTCATCGTTCGATTCTCCCAGTAGGGGTGAGGGCATGCAAGAGAAAATATTCTTTTTGTTTCTAAAGACCAAGGCTTCCACTGCCAGTTTGCTCTTCCTGGGCTGTCAGTTGTTTTGAGAACTGATTCAGGTGAATTGTTTCAGGGGATGAACGGCCTGGATTTGCCAGCTGCTGAACTGTTTGGCTGACAGCCAACAAACACACGACCCAACCAAAACAGGAAGTGCTCTGGTAGGCCCTCCAAGAAGACCGAAACACACCAAACCAACTTCTAACACTATAATTACCAGCTTAGTAATGGAAAAAGACTCAACTTAAACCCAGTTTGTCAAAATAATCAAGCCCCCCCAAAAAAACTGTGGTGAAAATAATACGTTGGAGACAAACAATATGTTGCTGTATGCAGGAAAGTAAACAGAAGAGTCCTCAGACCTCCTCCGACCCCTGGAAGTTGGGCAGAGCAGCGTGTCGGAAAACACGTCGAGACAGAAACAGGAAAGGCACACGTGCTCTGGAACCTGAGTGTGGTGGGACGTATCCCTGTCAAAACCCGATGCTCTGACCCCTTTAGCCAAACTGTGGCTGTGCAGCGCTGGTCAGACACACAGACAACACCAAAACAACCAAACTAGTATAAATAACCAGAGCAGCACAGTGCAAGGCTGGATATCAAAATAAGTAAAGAGTTAAAGTAAAATAACAAATGTTCATTTTGTTACAGAACATACAGGATCAGTAGACTCAGTGTTTATGAATGCTAATGCTAACATGCGGATGATAGGCAGACCTGTTTACCATGTTCACCAACCTTAACACAAAACATGGACGGGAAATTTCATGACAATCAATGTCATAGTTTGAGATATACCACAAAAACCACAAATGTCCACCTCATTATGGCCGTAGAGGAAAAGAAAAGCAACCCCTATGCTAATGATCAGGAGGATCACAAAACTGTCTGTCTGCAAAAACAGTGGCAACGAGTCAACAACAAATTTGTTAAGTAAAGACTTAAGAAGGAAGGATTACCACCCTGGGAAAGTAGAATGATTATTACTCTGAATATAACCCATACTAATCATAAACCCACCAAACTGCAAACAGGCAGCCCTACACTTGGAGCACATGGTAATTTTAAAAACATCCCTTACAGACATTTGCCCCACCCAAAACACAGGCTGACTGTAGTTTATGGAAACCAGCGCCTACATAGTTTATTTCAGCACAGCACAGTCAGTAAAGGCACAGTCTGGTAAGCCTGTGACAATAATAAGTAACAATATGACACCAAAATGAGGGACGACAGCAAAGCAATGTCATAATTGGCCATCTTATTTACACAGCATTTGAGCCTTTATGTCTTTTGCCTGTTGTGAAAACATAGCTTTGGCAGAAAACAACGTCAACATATTCACCCATCAGCAAAGAGGCTGTGCTTGGCACTAAACCATCTGTGGGTCATTGGTGTACAAACTGTCTGCTATACTGGATTTCAGTGGGCACATAGGAAAATTATTGTCTTGATTAAAAGATTATTGTTTGGTCAAAAAATAGTGAAAAATGTCCAAAGGTGATGTTTTCAGATGTCTTGTTTTGTCCAACCAACAGTCCAGCTTTTTTATAAATATATTTTTTTATTAGTCTGATATTTTATGGCCCAAACAATGAATAATTTTTATTCTTTTTTAAACTAAAGGTTAACTAATGATGAAACTGATCCTTTACTGCATGTGAAGAGCCTCTAAGTTTTCTGCCAGAGTGTGTGGGCCTTTTTTCCAGGGCAATGTGTTTATGTCATTTCAAGCCTGTCTGCAACTCACTTGTAGGTGCATGTAAAAGCTGACGCTGACAATTCCACATGGCAGCTGAAACTGGTGGGCATGGTTTATGTTTTGGTTTCGTTATTGTCAATGGAAAATTCAACAGTGCTCTGAGAATCTTCCAGCAACCACTGAAGAGTTCAGTCTGCCGGTCACTTAGAGGGGCTCAGAGTTACACTCCGGTAGCTCAGGTTAGATAATCCAGCTGTTTCTGACTGAATCCACCCTGTACTCCTCCTTGTTTTGAAATAATCTTTGACTTGCATGATGCCCCTGATCCTGGCCATTTAAATGAATACAAAAACATGAATGTCTCCTCACTCACGTACACTTGTGCGTTAAAAGTCACACCGCTGAGTTTTACTGATCAAGCGCTGACACACAAGTCAGACTTATAGTAAATAATCACACGAGCATATGTACGTGCGTCTTGTTCTCTGTTACCCTTTCCACCCCCCATACACACACAAACAGATTCCATTGATGTTTGAGAAGTGAACCAGTGGAGGGGAGGGGGTTATATAACCGGGCTGATGTAGGCCAGTTGATGCCTTCAGCTGACAGGGCCATAACAGTCAGTGAGCTAATATAGTCACTGTTCTGGCTAACAGCATCAATGGACCGGTAAACCCACAGAGGACAAAAACAAGGCTTATGCCTCCGATTTTGTGCAGAGCAAAAGAAGGAAAACACACAGGCTGCGATTTATCTGTGTCATTGCTCATAAAATCCTTTATCTTAGGTCTACCTCTCGATAAGAAAGAAGCATTGATAAATGACATTTTACTACCACCGTGACACTGAATCTCTATGGGACTACTGTGGTGGTAAAACTGGAAAAGGTCAAACATTAGAAATATACAGCACCTACAGTGGTAGTAAAGCCTACCCTAAACAAAACTGTTAGTAGGGCTGCAACTAATTATTATTTATTATCGATTATGTGGTTGATTATTTTTTATTACTCATTTAGATAATAAAAAGGTCAGAAAGTTGTAGAAATGCCACCCTACAATTTCCCAAGGTGATGAATAGATTGGCTGGAGAGATACAACAGACAATGATTATTATCAAATAATAAATGATTTTCTGTCCATAAACTAATCCATTAATACACTAGTTATTTCAGCACTAGTTTAACGTCAGTGTATTTTCTCCAGTAGGCCTGCCTTGAACTCCTTTCTTTAGTGCTGAAGTATTTTGATAATTAATTATTTAACACCAAAATAAGTCAACTGAGATAGCCAAGAGGGGAGTCAGTGCAACAATTATAACAGACAATATTTATTTACTTATTTACAGTTTCCTGAATGTAAGGATCTGTAACATTTCTCTGTTTACTACCTTTGGAAATTGGATTTTTAAATAAAGTATATGCTTGAGTTTCAGACAAAATAAGCTAAATAAAAGCAGCTACCCTGAGCTACAGTTAGTATCCATTATACAGAACAATGAACCACTTATTCGATACAATAATAATCAATAGTGATTTTTGGCTGCAGCCCTATTACTTGAACTAGAAATAACTTGCAGGTTCCCTCCAAGAAAAGCTCTAATATTTGAGATTTACATTAAAAACCCGTTTCCTTGTTGGTATTTAAAGACCTTAAATGCTCTTGCAACATCATATTGTGTCCACTGCATCACGCTGCATGTTTAACTTTTACCAGTTGTTTTCCTCTTATTTTGCGAGCCAGCTAAAAGCAAAGTCTGAATATTTGATCATGTAATGTGTAAAAGTTTACCACATACTGTAACAAACAGACTGAACTAGCTCAATCACCATCATCCAACCCCGTTAGCGACTGTTTCTAGAAGCATCCTCCTACCTTTCCTCGGTGTTCAGCATGATAGCTTCGAGGAAACACGGGTCTTTGGGTCCTTTTTGACAACTAAAACAATTACTGTTCAGTAAAAACTCCACAGAAAAGTTCACCATCCGTGATTTAAGACGAAACCTTGTCGCGGTAAAGGTCTCTAGTGCGACTGTTCGTGGGAGAGGTGGATCAGACTTCACTACGTCGACTTACAGCAGCAACTCGGTCAGCTACAGCCGGGCGACGGGGTATTTATAGCCGCAGCAAGGCATCATGGGTAATCCACACCGGGAAGTGAAAGTAAACAGACCTTAAAGGATTTCACAGCAGCATTTAAAATAATAATAATAATAATAATAATAATAATAATAATAATAATAATAATAATCATGATATGAGCTGTAACTTTATCACACTTAATGGTAGTTTTAAATAAATTATTGTTATGTAAACAGGACTAAATCTTAATAAAAGAAAAAGAAAGCTAAGTGGTGCCTTCATTTAAAGGCATAAATAATGTTTTATTTTACTGTTTTCTTTTCCATAAATTTAATTTATTTTTTCAGCAATACCACAAAATAAACTTAATTAGTAGCCCTGCAGTGAATATGTTACTGAAGTATTAGTAGCAAATGTAGCCTACTTAATGTATCAAACATAAAAGTAAGCGACTCATTTGGCAGTAGAATGACACCTGATCGTGTTTATACTTTATACAGCTGGATACAGTTAATCAGTAACCATGTAACTTTAGATAAATTATGTAAAATCTTACTATGTAAAGTTAAAAGTAACTATAGCTATGAGTAAGTAAGATTTTCAATGTTTTTCCTTTGTGGAATAGAGAAATAGTGACACATAAAATGGAGATAAAGCACCTGACACACCCCTGACGCAGCATTGGGCGTCCTGATTTCACTACGGTTGACCTTGACCTTGAAAACCTGTGCAGGGATCAACGTGACCTTGGGAGAGACCTATCAAAAAAAAAAAACAAGCTCAATACACTTCCTGGGAGTGATCAGAGAGTCCCGTTCTCCCTCTAAAACTGTCCGTCTGTCCCTCACAGCAGTCAGCATTTGGCCCAGCCTCTCAGCTTGAATCTGAACATAGACTCAGTTATGTAAGGAGGAATGGAAAAGAGCCCCTCTGCCAAAAAGATTATCAGATTAGTAACAAGATAGTAGCGCAGCAACTTGATCCTAGCACATCACAGCACCACTGTTGCTGGTTGCTGCTGCATGGGTAAGCAGGGGGCCAATGCCACCTGCCAGCCACCGTTGAACAGCACTGTCATGATGTAACAGTGAGCGAAACCTGCTGAGGGAGTCTGTGTCAGGCAAATGACAGCAGCAGTTGTGACTTACAACATGTTTAATAGCATGTACGTCTTCCTGCCATTTACACTGCAAGAATCCACAATTCAGTTAATTCAGTGTCAGGAGATCCGGTGGTGGTGATAATGTGTATTTCCAGGCTTCACCACCTCAATGCACGTAATGAGAGGTGGCAGTGACCTAACCCTCATGCAAGGATGAGAACCGAACAAAGAACTAATTAGACAGAAGGGGATGCATAGATCGGATTTGGGAGAGGAGATGTCATTCAGTGAGGAGATGTGGGGTATTTATTCAGAAGATCAGAAAAGGTCTTGATACTCTTGACATTAATGTGGTTGGTTTAAATTCTCAGACCAGCTGTGTAAAAACTCTCTGGGAAACAGGAGGAGGAATGTCCCTCTATGTCCCTGCTAAAACATTTTCAGCCCCACTGAATGTTCATGTTTTCCAACGGAGAAACCACTTATCTTTGGCGGCCACGTTTACCTCAAATTATAGTGACGAAATTAAATAAAAACCCAATAACAGAGTATATACTCAGAACATATGGGGTAGATTTGCACATTTAGTCTTTTGTTGATTTAGTGTCATCCTAAACTGACTAAAATGTTATGAAGAAGATATGTTCTTACAAAAATATGATTAATGAATCATTTGACAGTATTAAAGTCATTACTCACTAAGCTAATTACAGTTAATACAGTTGAATGAGACCAGTATACTGATGGCCTATTTCTGCTTCAGGAGAGAGTCTATCAGACCTTTTCAATTCAGTCACACTGAGACTGCAAACAAATGGTCGAGGTCGAGGTCAAATTCTTGGCCTCATTATTTGTAATGCAAAGAAATGTGCAGTTTCCCTACTGACCTATGTGTGTTGTTTTCTGTCTCAAACACTAATGGATTGCTGATGTTGCCACATGACAAGCTTAACAACAACAATGTGACTTTGGTGGGAATGTGCTAATATAGTGAGGTTGAAAGAAAGGCAGTTTTCAATTACAATTTCATTTATATTTTCTGCATGAACTGCAAATAAATGTTGATTTTTGGCATGAATTTAGATTAGTACTTCTTTATTACGGTTAAAGACAAACATTTATAATGACAAAGAATAAACAGTAACCCATTAGGAAAGAGATTAGACTGATTATTGGATTAAAACTTAAAAGACGTTAGCATATTATCACTAAATGGCAGCATGCAGATACAGCTTGAGCAGTTAATATGTAGGCTGTATGTTTTGACTGTATTTTTAATAGTTTACAATTGTCCAGTTCAGAAATTTTAAGTGCTTCAAGTATAAATTATTATGTTTTGCTACCAAATGAACATTCAGAAAAGTGTGGAACGGTGGTGCAGTGGTTAACATTCAGACCTCACAGCAAGGAGGTTTTGTGTTTGAATCCGCCCTCTGGCTGGGGCCTTTTTGTGACTGGGGCTGGGAACGTTTTGATTGGAGTTTGCATGTTCTCCTTGTGTTTGTGTGTGTTTTCTCCAGCTCCCCTGCACACATTCCAAAGACATGCACTTTAACAAGTTATTTGGTGACCATAGGTGTGAATGTGACAGGGAATTATTTGTTTGTGCCTTTTGCCCAATGTTAGCTGGGATTGGTTCAAGCTCCCTGTGACCCTGCAAAGGATACCGTAAGCGGGTATAGGCCATAGATGGATGGAACATTCAGTATATTCAAGAAGAGTTTACAGCCATGCTTCTACATCAAAAGAGAAGCTATCACCAAAGTTATCACAATTTATCCTGAGGGATCCCCTAAGTCAGTAGACGTCATCCTCTGTGGACCACGAATGTCTGTACAGAATCCTGACAATCCATCCAGTAGTTGTTGAGATATTTCAGTTTGGACCAAAGTGGTGGACCAACCAACCAACCAACCAACCAAATATCATAGAATATTAGAATGGCAATGTCATGGCTAAAAACGTTTTTTATCCTGAATAAATGTGCCACCTGCCACATATGACCTTTTCCACTGCTCATATTAAGTCATCTAACTAAACTGGCTACAAGAATTCATCACAACACACATAAACAATAAAATGAATAAAAAAACAAAGCATAGAACAAGTCCTTTGTTGTATTGGTTGCAACAGATGTATAGCAGCAGTAGCAGAAAAAAAGCAATCTGAGCATCTTAGTTTCTAGGACAAACTGTCCTTCAGCTGCCCCTGATGAACTGCAGGCAGCGTCACAGAGTTGCACATGAGATGCTGGCTGAAAAACAAAACATCTCTCCTGTTTCAACCTCAATGCTGTTTGAGACTGACACCGCTGACCTGGTATTTCGTTTTGTCAGCCAAGCTCCTCACACCGAAGACAAAAGGCAGATCGTGTGAACAACATGAGACACTATCTCTGCTTTGAGAATGAAATATTCAGCAGGTGCTCAGTGGGGAATGAGTCTGAAAAACTGTTGCTTAAAGAGAGTCCTCCTGTTGCTGCCATCAAACCTGACAATAGAAATGGGCCTCAGAAGTGTTGTCAGCGCTGAAGGATTTGTAAGACAGACGAGTTGGTTATATATCATTCAAATAATACCATTTATGGAAAGCATGCCTGTTGTTGAAAACAACTTTAAGGCTGGAATGACAGTGTTGTTCAAACAAACCTTCTTCAACACAGTCTGCCAGAGAAAGTCTCAAAAAATAACTCAGATTCATGTTCTAGGAGGTGTTTGCCTCTTTAGACTTGACCAGGCCTGCAGGTACCACTCAGGACAAGACATGGAATTTTTCAGTGGTCCTTCTGCAGTCTGATGCTGATATGTTTTTAGACTTTGTGTACTTAGATTTGACAATTTTAGGTTAAATAAACATATTATACATATATACATTTTAATAAATCGGCTATTCATCTGTGCATCAAACAGGATTTAAAAACATTTGAATCAGAATCTGATAAAAACAGTCACTAAGTAACTACGATGTTTTATTCAGAACTTTACCTTCGATTGTGCTAATTTAGTGAGGAATATTTAATATTTAATGTTATAGAAATGCTTGGGATTTGAAACTGCACTTTCAGGGGGTTTAAAAATGCATTTAGAAAAGTGTTTACTAAGGGGAGATTAACTAAATTGCGTTCAAACTTAATGTATTTATCAAGAGCAGGTTGTAGGATGGGCTGTACCAGCTCTTGATAAATACATTAAGTAAAAGTTAACCTTTTTTGTTTGTTTGTTTGTTTGTGTTTTTGACACAGACGTTAACTTTTGTTGTAGCCTCAGCTCAACCTTTTTATTGGAAATGTGTCAAATATTAGATCCTGATGTGACTGTTGTGGTTATATTCAAATAAAGGAAGCTCTCTGAAATATTTATTCTTTATCTATATATACATCATCTCACAGTACAGTTTGCAGGTGCACCGTTCAGGTCAGATCAGATTTTGGAAAACATCTTACCCCTGCTGAAAATAAAGATATCATATTTCTTTACATTGTGTGTAAAAACACATGTGTTACATGGAAGGGAAAACATCAGAACTGGGACACTAACATCTGAATATACTTTTCTTCAGGTTTCATGCTTATAGCTAAATCTCTATTACATGGCACATCAAAGAAAAGAAGAAAGATTAGGAAGAAGCGCTTGCGTATCTGCTTCTGTATGTGACTGTATGTGTGCTGTGACAATCCCTGGACAAACTCTTCAGCTCACTGAAGTTCCCATTGTTTCTCTCTGGCAGCGTCCCACATTCCTTGTGGGGAAAGGGTGATTTACTCGTGCAGGTAAATCACAACAAACACAAGGACGCTCATGTCCACAATTCCTATATTTTAACACTTTTTGTTTTTATGTCAACTGGCAGAAAATATATATATCAATAACTGTGGTCCTGACCAAAAATAGTTTATTTTAAAGTGCAGATAAAAAGACAGTGA